CGAGCAACGGGAGGCGCGAGCGGCGACAGAGGCAGCGTTTGTGAGCAGCGACAGCGGCGAGCAGCGGCAGCAGGAGCAGGAGCGACGAGCAGCGGGAGGCGCGAGTGGCGACAGAGGCAACGTTTGCGACCAGCGACAACGGCGAGCAGCGAGATCGGGATCGGGAGCGGCAGCGACGAGGGTTAGGGTTGGGTTCTCACTTATATCGATTTTAGTTGGTTCGATTGAACCAACTAACCATCAGAGACCGAACCAGACCTAAAATCCTGGTTCGGTCGCCTTGGTTAACCCAGGCGCTCGCCCGAAGCGCCCAGCGCCTGGGCTCGGGCGAGCGCCCAGGTGGCGCCTGTTTGAAGCGCGCCGCCTGGGAGATTAGCGAGGCGCTCGGGCCTCGCCTCGCCTCGCCCGAGCGCCTTTTTAAATCACTGATCTAGCCCAATATTGTTATTAGATTTGAGCCCAAATATTGATTGAACTAAACTAGGCTTGAATAGTCTAGATCGATTCAGGGTGATTTCGAATTGATTGACTTATTCAAATCAGTTGAACCTAAATTGAACCTAATCTAGTCCAAATTATACTAGTCTAGGGTGGTTCCAGACCAATTAAATGAGGATTAGAGATCGGTTCAGTTAGGTTCTAGTAAATTGAGTTCAATTGGATCGATTGAACTAGGGTTCAAGTCAATTGAGGGCAAATTTGTATTATTTGATATTGATGATATTTGAAAGAGATGTTTTAAATATGTTATTTCATCCCGATATGGACATGACCAGTGTGAGATTATGTTACTTCCGTGCCGAGAGCAGGTATGGCGATTCCCTTCGGGGATTAGTGGGCCGTCAGACGTGGCGGCTGGATGGTTCCTCCATCCGCTATTGGGAGGAACTTGTCCCCACTTTGGCGGGTGAGGGACACCTCTCCATGCGCAGTTGAGAGTGCGATATGATTTTGCCTCCATCCGCTGTTGGGAGAACACAAACTCATCCCGTAGGATAAAGCCTCTCCATCCATTATTGGGGGAGTGCTCCTTCAGGTATTTGATATACGCCAATGGGATGATTGATTGAATTTTGATCATGTATTCATTTTGAGTTAACTTTTAGGGTTCCTACTCAGTATTGCTGAATTTTCTTTATTTTTGTTTTTCAGAGCAGCCTCCCTCTAGTACTAAATCAGATTCCATTAGAGAGCAGATCTTCCTCTACCGCTATGTAGAGTCACTTGAATGATTCTTGAAGTTAAAATCACTATGTTTACTTTTCTACTTGTGATTTAACGAATAAATGAATTGTAATAAATATTTATGAACAAAGAATAAAGTGATGTTTATCTATTTGACCTAAACGTGTGGAAAGATATGGAAAAAAAAAAATCCAGGATGTGACATCTATCCATTTTTATGTTCGGAATTTTTCACCAAGAAAAAGATTATTGAAGAATTATTACCAATATTAAATGTAAATAATACACAAAGGCATGATTCATACCGGAGAAGGCATGTAAAGAGGCCCTTTCTATACACCAAGCCAGTGAAAAATATATTTATTTATAAAAAAGAAACAAACTAATTATCCATAACAAAAGAAAACCAAATTATAGAATAGTGTAAAGACAGTTAATTTGGAAAACGTTCTCAATCCAAACCAAAAAAATCATGTTTTTGGGTTCAAATAAACCATAAAAAATGAGACAATTTTTTGTCCTAAACTAAGATAGATATGCTCTTATAGTAAGTATAAGTTGACAGTTAATGATAACATCTTGTTAGAATTCATGCATAAATTTAAACATCATGCTCATGAATTTTTATGTCAACACTACACTGGATTCTTGAATCTCAACTATTAACTATCATTAAGAAATATTAATTAAAATAAAGTGTCAAAAATATAATTTTTATGCTTAAGTGAATCCTCTGACTTATATACTTCAGTTTTTTACTGATCACTATGAATCAAGACATCAAGTAAAAGACAAAATTTAGAGACTTTTTTTTTATCATTGATATTTGCCAAAACATGAAGTACCTTGGCCTATCATCTCCAACAACCAAAGAATTTCATATTCGTTGATATAAAGTAGTGAAGTTTCATGTTTAACATACATTTTCAGATGAAACTTCCAAAGCACCTTCATGAATTATATGATAGAAGAAACTAAAATTCAATTGAACAATAAAGACTTTATCTTCAAATTGAGGGCCAGTGAATTTAATGTGAATATCAAGGTTCACAATATCGTACCGTACCGACGTTTCGACGTTCGCTCGGTACGGTACAAAACGGTATACCGAGTAGTAAATCGAGCGGTATACCGCTCGGTATATATATATATAATATATATATAACTCGACGACGTCGCCTCTCTCTTCTCTCAGGCGGGGCGACGTCGCTTCGGCGACATCACCTCGTTTATATATATATATATATATATATATAAAAGATTATATATATATTTATATATTTATATATCTTTTATTTAAAAGGCGACGTCGCCTTTTCCTTCCCCACGCAGGGCGACTTCGCCTCGTTTATTTAAATATATAAATATAAATATATATATATATAATCCGAAATAGAGGTGCCTCGGCGACGTTGCATCGCCTTTTTCTAAAATATTTATATATATAAATATATATATATATTTTTTATTATTATTTTTCATTCCGCCCGGTAGCGGGCGGTCCGCGTACTGGTATGCCGTCGGACCGGTACGTACCGCCCGTACCGGGCGGTATCATTTGGTATTGCCTACCTTAGTAGATATAGTACCAGATGAGTCATTTCTAGATAAATGAGTGGTATCTGTCTTCCCTAATTTTCTACTGCAAATATGTAAAAGCACAACTCACGGCTCAGGCTACACAGCCTGAGTTCCCACCTAAAATATTCATCTATCTTTTAGCATATACAATTCACATACTTCTAAACAAATAAAAAAAGAATGGGATACTGAAACTGAAGTGATCAAAATAATCAAATCTATATCAATATTGCAGCTAGATAAAATTGTCAACCATTATGATTGCTTCTAATATCATAGTGCAAAGTAACATCTATGACCCATGGCAATAAGTGCATCGAAGCATGCCAATACTGTAGCTTCAGTTAACTCCTTTTATGTACAGCTATGTTTTAAAATATGTCCTTTCCTTTCGGAGTGAAGGATAAAAACATCATCACCTGCAATTGAGGAGTAATTTTCATACATCACACATACTCAAAACTATTTCTACCCAGTGATAACCATGTAAATGACTATAATTGTTGTACATGTGTATATCCTGTTATACCAATACTAAAATAACTAAAATGAGAATCCAAATTATGTATAAGAAAATATTGTCAAAAATTAGTATAGTTCAAGAAGGATAGATGACTGACTGTCAACTAGACCAAGTATTTAATGCAGATTATTCAAAAGTTTACAAATATACCTCACAAGGCCAACCATCAACAACAAACACATCCAAGGAGTAACCATCATTTGTTGAAAAGGCATGTGCTTCTTGAATGTTAAGGCCAAGTTCAGCAAGCAAGGAAGTCAGCTGGAAGTACAAAAAAATAAAGAGATTTACAAAGATATCTCAATAGTCAATACAAAAAAAACCAAAAGATTAGATGCCTTCTATCTAGATTAATTTGTTACATAATATGCCATGCATTAGCCACTGGAAAACCAATGGAAAGAAGAAATACTTGGTATTTGTATAAAAGAAGTATTATGAATTGCAGAACATTCAACTTGGAAATATACATTGTATGCTGAAATTTTGGTTTCATTATATCTTGCAAAATCAGATAAATTTGTTCTCATAAGTTCTGAACCAATCCACCTGATTCCCTGAAAAGTTGCAGGCAGAAATAGTAAACAACTTTGGAACCTAACTCATAACAAATTTAAGTAACCCAAGCAAGTCAACCAACCAATAGACTAAAAATACCAATGGGGCGGGATAGTACCAGAACTCTTCAAGATTTGAGCTACTCATTGAGGCTTGAGCAATAGAATATTATCACCTTTTATGATAATCTATAACTTCATGTTTATAAGCAGAGCCCAAATATAGAAAACTTGTTGCTAGAGGAAAAATTCAAACAAGCTACAACCTTACAGACAATAAGACCAAAAGGACTAACTCCAACATGTCACATCACTCATTGGTGTCTAGATTTACCAAGTCGAAGCACTAAATCCTATGAAGTTGCTTCCAGAGACTAAAGATAGTGTATCAATTTCATATATACCAAAACTCCATGTCATTGATCTATTCTTCAACATAGGTATAACATATTCAGCAAATGACAGGTACAAACCAAAAGATATATAATTACTTAAGAAGATGGGCAGTCTCTGAATTTGCAAACATGTACTAAGAAAATGTTGTATGATGGATATAACTGGGGAAGCAGTTAGTTTACCAGACTTAGAAGCTTTGGCTTGTCATGTGTGGAAAATGTGATTTCATGCATTGGCCTGCAACAAAATAAAATCGACATTTCATGGTGAAGATAAATATCAGATGGAAAAAGAAACAAGCTCATTAAATACAGTACAACTAGCACAGAAAAATATAAAAATACAATATTTGAAAATAATAATGGGACCTACCATTTGGGTCTAATTAATTCCTGAACTTTTTTTGAAGTGCTTAAAACTTGAATGAAGTTAATGTGTCTTGTAATCTACAGTGAAGATCATGGAACAACATGCAGAAGAGAACAGAGAACACAGAAACAACACCTGGGATAAGGTGGAGCACTGGCAAAGTTATCTTCATCTTGAACTTGTTGCCTGCTGGCTTCAAGAGCAAGAGCCTCAAGATTAGGCGAAGAACCAAAGGCAGGAGGAGGATGAACACTGAAGATTGTGTAGGTGATTGAAAATGTTATCATGAATATAGCAATGGGAACAAGAAAGAGAAGTAGGAAGTTAAGTGTCGATAACACAAGGTAGAAAAGGAAGTAAAAAGGTATGCTTAGGAAATTTCACAATTAGAGAACATGCAGTAGGAAAATAAACTGCACCTTTGCCTAAAGTAAGTTGAAGCAGACTGAGAATCTCCTATTCCTGGTGCATTAGAATCAGAAAAATCAGCTTGGCTTCCATCAGGAACTGGAGAAACCTAAAGAAGCAATTGATCAAGTGAAAGGACCACTAGTCAACTACAACCAAGTCAAGGACAAATAAACTAGATGCAGACACTAAAGCAGAATATTCATTAAATCCTATTATTATATGGAAGTTCAGAAACGTAATGTTCACAAGAAACCCAAAATCTATTGTGCGGGAAAGTCGAAAAAGTTTGCTAGAATTTGCTTTGAAAACAAACAAAAGAAGTGCCATCAAATTATTGCTTTATGTGGTAAATGATCTGAACATTATTTTGTTTCTACCTATGCTTAGTGAAACAACCAAAAGCTCTAGACTCCAAAAATTTATACCCCTGTTAGAATTAGCAATTTCAAACCTAAGAAGACCAGAAGTATTAGTCTTCAACTAACCTGGGTTTTAATTTACCTAATAAGGTTCTACGAGAAGTGTTTACCTTATTTTTGTTTAACATATTCTCATTCAGGTTTTATCACCTGCACCATTAGTTTGATCTAGTACAAATTAGCAACTTTTTTCAAGCTAGACATCATATAATGTTTCAATCAGATGACTAGCTCAGTAATGTGGAACAAGAAGAAGAAGACTATTCTCAAGGAGCCTAAAGTTGCAACTTATCACTTTTATTTATCACACATTGTTAATTTTATATTTTATGTTTCTTTCAATGATCCCACATTGTTAGTTAGTTAATTTTCAAGGCCTACAATTAATATAAATAAAGGCCTCCTCTAAGCCTATAAAATCATCAAAAAGCAATATTTTCAAGTATTGTGGAAGTTTCTCCACCATAAGGAGTTTTTTTCTCATCAGGTTAGTTGCTAGAATCTTTTCTAGTAGTAATTTCTTATTTCCGTTCCTGTCCTACGTCAGTTGATATCAAAGCCTTGCTCTTGGTTAGCATAATAGGTTTTTGGTCAGAAAAATAACGAGTATGCTCTACACTCGCCACGTATAGTGGATTTTGTGTATCAGAAACTTAATTTGTTAAGTACAAGTACAACCCCATAGCCCATCAAGATGAGGTCTAGTGGTAATAATGGCGAGAACGGCAACGACATTGTCGGTGATGGCAGTAGCAAATTCGATGATGATGGCCTTCGTGATGGAAGCAATGGCAACAACCCCAACAGTAATGATCGGGGAGGGCCAACCCTATGGGCAGAGTTCGAAGCACAAGAAGCGAGGATGATCCAGGAACTCCGAGAGATTCGTGACATGCTCGTTAACTTAGGTTTAGGCGCCAACAGAGTTTATGATGATGGTATGATCAATCGTGCCAGAGTTGATGCTTATGGCCAGCCTAATCATTAACACGGGCCTGCAATCCAGCATAGGCAACCAGCCTATGAAGATGTGTCAGACGAAGAAGATAGAATTGTAGACCATCACAGAACCAACCAAAGAAGAGGTGCAGGTACAACTCAACCTTGACACTTCTACCAACGTGATACTATCCGTCCACAACAACCAACAGTATATTATGATAACTCAGAATAGTGAAAGGTACAGAAGACATCAAGCACCATCCAGATGAAATAGATTATTTGAGGATTATCGCCTCAAAACAGATCTCCCCAATTTTAATGGCCACCTCAACATTGAAGCTTTTCTTAACTGGAGTTATTAAGTATAGACCTTCTTCGAGGTGATGGATCTTCCTGATCACAAACAAGTCAAGCTTATTGTATACAAGTTAAAAGGAGGTGCAGCAGCTTGGTGGGGGTACATTACAGAATAATAGAAGAAGATAAGGCAAGGCACCAGTACAAACATGGCGAAAGATGAAGCAACTTCTCAAAGGAAGATTCCTACCCCAAACTATGAACAACTATTGTTCTAACAAAACCAAAACTGCATCCAAGGCACTCGATCTGTAACCGAGTATACTAATGAATTCTTATGCCTTTCAGCTAGATGTAAATTATCAGAGTTAGAAGACTAGCAAACAGAAAGGTACGTCAATGGACTAAAATTTATAATTAAAGATAGGATGTCTTTAATTCCGATAAGGACAGTAGATGAAGCACACAATATGGCATTAAAGGTTGAAATGTTGTTGACTCGACCTCCAATTGCAACCTAGCAATTCTCTACTCTGACAACACCACATGTTCTTGACAAAGAGGAGCAATTTATGACTGAATCAATGCAACCTACAACTCAAGGCACAAATACCGGAGGAGCAACAAGGCAAGCTAAGCATATCCCGACTATCACAAATAATCCATATGCTCGACCCCTGGTTGGGAAGTGTTTCAAATGTGGGGAGCCTAGTCATCGTTCCAACGAGTGTCGTGCTCGTAAGACTGTCAACCTTACAGATCACAAAGATAACTTTGAAGGAGATGCTCAAGATGATATGATTGATGATATTGACAATGCTAAAATAGCATAGAAAGAAGGGGAACACGATGCATGTGTTGTGATAAGATTATTACTCACCCCAAGGCAAGAAGATCCATCTCAGCGTAAGAATTTTTTTCATTCTCAATACAGTGTTAATAACAAAGTGTGTGCATGATTATAGACAACGGAAGCTATGACAATATTGTATCCAAATCATTGATGAGGCATTTAAAATTGCACATAGAAGCTCATCCAACACCATACAAGCTAGGGTAGATTAAAGAAGGCCCAACTGTCATTGTAACTGAGATCTGTAGAGTTTCTCTCTCAATTGGGAAAAGCTACAAGGAGAAAGTTATATGTGAGGTAATTGACATGGATGCATGCCATGTACTACTTGGAAGACAATGGCAGTATGATGTGAATACAACCCACCTTGGAAGAAAAAATATTTATATATTCTGGTAGAACGGAAAGAAGATTCTCATTCTACCGATTAACAAAAAGGGAGATGAAACCAACACTTCCAAAGTGGAGGGGAAGTCTCACTTATCTATTTCTAACTTTGTTCAAGAATTCATTGTCAATTTTAAAGAAATAAGAGTATAGTATGCTCTTATTGTAAAGGAAGAAAAACCACCTAAAGCAAAGATTCCAAACGAACTAAGATCGATATTGAAAGAATTCAAAGAGATTACCCCTGAAGAGCCAGATGGACTTCCACCCATAAGAGATATTCAGCACCAAATTGATTTGGCTCCAGGAGCAAGGCTACCAAATTTATCTCACTACCAGATGAACCGAAAAGAGAATGAAATATTGAGAGAGAATGTAAAAGAGTTGATACCGAAGGGATACATATTCGAGAAAGTATGAGCCCATGTGCAATTCTGGCTTTGTTGACACCCAAAAAGTTGAAAGCTACTAATGCTAGGTACACAGAAGTAACTCATAAGCATAGGAGAGAGAATGTATTCAAGGAAGGAGATATGGTATAGTGTACGTGCAAAAAGAGATATTCCACATAGGCACTTACAACAAATTGAACACGAAGAAATATAGTCCCTACAAGGTCTTAAAGAAAATCATAATAATGCCTATATGATTGATTTACTAGATGATTGGGGAGGTTCAAAGACCTTCAATGTTACAAACTTATTTAACTACTTTGCAAGTGAGAATCCATTATATCTAGACATAAACTCGAGAGTGAGTTTTTCTCAAGTGGAGGGGATTAATGCAGAACAAGCAGAAGAAGACTATTCTTAAGGAGCCTAAAGGTGCCACTTATCAATTTTATTTATCCCATATTGTTAATTTTATGTTTTATATTTCTTTCAATAGTCTCACATTATTAGCTAGTTAGTTTTCAAGACCTAGAATTAGTATAAATAAAGACCTCCTCTAAGCCTATGAAATCATCAAAAAGTAATATCTTCAAGTATTGTGAAGGTTTCTCCACCATAAGGAGTTGTTTTTCCTCATCAGGTCAGTTGTTAGAATCTTTTCTAGTAGTAATTTTTTATTTTCGTTTCCATCCTGCGTCACTCAGTAAATTAACTGAGATGACATTTCTCAAAGGAAGAACTAATGAATGAAATTTTGAAAAGAAAAGAAAATCACTAGAGAACCCATATCATTTCCCCACTCAGATAAATATGAAGTAACCGATGCATAAATACCTGAAAACCAATAAGTTTTCAAAAGTTCCTAAAATCAACATAGTAAATGCATGAAAGATCATAGAACAATAACAATATAAGCCAAATTAGACACAGCTTAGTCACAAATTAACCAATACAAAGATATATAGCCACCATTACATCGTAAACTGCATGTGAAGTATATCAACTCTTTGGAAATAAATAAAGCTAATAACAGCTAATTATTCAGCAAAACAGACAAATGATATGTACACACCACAAATGACAAAACCGTGCACCGAAGTTATGGTGGCAACATGATCCACCTATAGCATAATGAATATATTAAAAGAAAAGTATAAAAACAATTGATATCAGAAACGCTAGAAAAATTTTAAATTGAAAACAGAAGCAAAACCAATTGCTAAAGGATAACTGCTCGATACAAGCTTCCATCAAAAGTATTACAAACATATTATTTGGTGATAACATCAACCTCAATTCACAAGGTGAAAGATAGAAACTAATACATCTGCTACTATCATGTTAACCAAAATATGCAAAAATTTCTTTCCTCCTATCATGTGACATATACTAGCCCTCTATATACAAGATTTCAACCGAAAAATCATGCAAAGGGACTGTTGCTTGTTGTTTCTCATTCTGTTTACATAAACAATGTTTGTTTCAGCCACTCAAGCCCTGGATGGTTCTGAGTAACTCATGCTCGATAATTTTAAGGAGAGGGCGACGAAAGTGCTATACCAGTTGTTTAGAATCCATCGGAACTACATTCATCCTTCGTTGAGTAGAGTCTTAAAAGTAAAAGCAACATCCAGATGAAGGAACAGCTGCTGAAGCTTTTACCTGCACCAAGCGTACAGCAAAGACAGGCCTATTTGCAGGTTCTTTAGCCAGTTCCAGCAATTTTTTGTGAGTCAAGACATCTTCTGCCCTCTCTACGTTTACATCCAATGCGTAACTGCAAAAGGAAAAGGCCAACAGATCAACATTTGATTCGAGGGAAAAGCACGGCAACAAGTTCGACCAATACAGGTAAAGTGTATCGGCGACTTCGGTTGTACACTCTTGTCAAACAATGATGCCATATAACCAACAGGACATTAAAACTCAATCGAGAATTCGAATTGGACTGGTCACATCCTAAGAACAAGTGGATAAAGAATGTACGCCAGCAAATATCACCAATGCGTGGATTATTCGGACTAGAAACAATCAGGAACAGAACCCTTTCGAGAAAGGCGAACGGAGAACTATATTTCAGGGCCCCGACCGACGAAAAAGATCAAAAGGTCAACAAATCGACGACACCATCACTAATGATCCAAGAACGAGAAGAAATAAGATAAACCCACAGAAGCGGACGCAACGTGAGATCTACCGAGCCGGGAGACGATTGAAGTGGTTCCACAACCCGTCCTCGAACGTCGGGGACTGCACCTCCGGCCGACCGTCCTCCCTCAGGCGGCAGAGGACCTCGTTGTAGACGTCCAACTTGTGTCGCTGCTGCTGCTGCCTGGTGTGGGCCTGGGACGAATCCACCGCAGCCCAGCTGCTGCAGCTCTCCGTCGTGTCCTCCATCGCCATTCACGAATCCAAACCCCCCAAAGAAACCCAGGGAAACCCACAAAAAAGTTCGAACTTCCGCTGGTTAATGCTCTCTTCTCGTCCAAAGGTTCTGCTTAGGCGATGGATGGATCGAAACGGAGATTGGGGTGGCGATCGCCCATGATCCACGTGAGACGAGGCGAGTGGGATAGGAGAAGGAAGAAGGGATTAGCTTTAAAATGGTTGTTTTACATATATATCCTTGCACCATATGCAAATAACTTTCCATATGGCATACATCCCTCCAAAATTGAAATTAAAAGCCTCTACATTTTTTAATTCCTTTAGTATTTATTCGTCGGAAAACCTAATTTAATTAATTATAATCGGTTTATATATATAATTTTTTTGAATTAAAAATAGCAATATAAATAAAAAAATTTAATAATTAATTTCGCTAAGAGTAGATATTGGAGATTGGCTAATAATCAAATCATCAATTGCAATCCAAAATTCCATTAGGTAGACCCAACTGTATTCATATTTTCATTTATGTTCTTCAATCTATCAATTTTTTGATAGGTTCAATAAACTTTTTTTTTCTTTTCCTTCCTATCTCCAAAAAACCAAAAAAAAGGCAAATTTCAAAATTTTAATAAGTGAAATTGTATTTCTAAGTTTTTTATTTCTTTATATATAAATAACTAGAATTTTAAAAAGAAAATAACAAGGCATCTGAAAATAAATTATTAATTTCTATAAAGCAACATTATATTTGTGCTCTAACATCCCCCCACAAGTGTAAGGCGTTCCAAATAACAAGATTAAATGAATGTTATGTATTATCTTTGGTGAAACATTCAATTGGTTAAGGTGCATTATATAAAGTCAATGGTTTGAGTAGGCTAATTACATATTATCCATATAATTAGTTATTTTTAATATTTTAATTTCTATATTTTTAAATATTACATTGAAATCCTTATACTTACAAAAAAAAAGAAACATTTAATCCATTACTCCAATTAATTTTTTTTTAATTAATCTTATAAAATTAGGGATATTAATATTTTGGTTTTGTAATTATAGAGATTCTAATATAATTTTTAAAAATATAAAAATTATGATGTTAAAAGTAATTAATTACAAGATGTAATCTATAAGTAATCCGGTTTAAATCTCACCCCAAGTTGCAACTTATAACAAAAGAAAAAGAAATAGGGTTCATATACAAATATGGGTAAACAATTAAGAGAGAGAGAGAGTAAAGAAAGATAAAGCTGAGGATGACATCTGACCTACTTTGATAATATAATAACGTTGATAAGAGACGAGTTAGGTGAAGCAAGTTAGAGAAAAAGCTCCAACATTCTCAAGTAGAAGCTCTGACCTACACCAGATAATGAGCCATGAGTCAGCATCATCACTGACTTAAAACTCGTCTCTCTCTCTCTCTCTCTCTCTCTCTCTCTCTCTCTCTCTCCTTACATGTCTAAAATGGTGATGCCTCTTGTGACCTTCTGTCTGCGAACAATGTCCGATTCGGATGTGATGAGGATGGCGGTGGCATTATCCAGGTGGTGGACGACTCTCTGCTTTTTGTTCCCTTGCTTTACATGTACATGGGGCTCTCTTTCTTGGCTTTTAGTATTTTGCCATTATTACGAGTCTTCTTTCATTTAGCACTAACAATATGAAGTCGAATATTTCACATCAATTTTGAAATCAAAAAGAGAAATCAAGTCATTAATAATCAAGAAATAAATCAAAATTTTGGTAAGAAAAAAATACTAAATACAAAGAATAATTTTCTCTTTTGTTAACTTAAATTCATTCTCGAAATCTTCTTATACACCTCATATAAGCATACAAAACTCTTATCTCGGTCTTTTCTAAATTCACTAAAAAAACCTCTAATTTTTTTTTTAATGATTGAGTTCTTGATTTTAGTCCTCCAAGTAATTTGAATTTAATTATGATGCTTAAAATATTTATCAATCCTAATAAATCCTAAATTTACTAAGATATAATCTATGTTATCCATAAAAAATATTCTCCTAACAAATCAAATAAGGAAAACCATTCCTAAAAATATAGTTAAATTAAAATAAAATATTACCCAAACACTCTCTCGCTCATTGATTAAAATACTCATTTTCTCTAATTTAAATGTCGATATTCTCTTTTCAAGCCTTGAGTTAGCATGCCTTAGCTAATCACTTTGCATCGATCTTTCCTTCTAGAGCTTGATAATATATATTTTAATGAGCAAATTGAATTGATGAACGAATTTGACATAGACCAACCATGACGTTGTGCATGCATCTTTTTACGGGATAACGAAGCCAACGCATCCTCCATTATAATAATAATAATTATTATTATCATCATCCAGCGATGTCATAAGTGTCGTGCATTGGTACGAAGCTTCCCTTCCTTAGGGCAGACCACTAAGTACGGAATGTTTAGAGGAATATTCCAATCATTAGCTTGCACAGGATTAAACCAAACGTGTAACGTGATTAGCCGCTGGATTTTGTTGGAGATAATGATATTTATGAAGTGGACGGCTAAGATTTCGGCTAAGTCGTTGATCTTTGATCACAGTTGATCCTGATCTCCCACGCCAAAAGTCAATGCAGCTCTAATTACAATGCAGTTAAACACGCTATTAGGATTGTGCAGCATCATTTTGATGTTGATGTGTGTGGTCATATCATTATATGGAATTCTGAACTACTTGAGCTTAGTATAGCAAGAACAGTTTATATATATTTTCTCCTAATCAACTATTATCTTCGTGATAGTGTATTCTAAATTTACCTTATGGGAGGATTTAAAATATAATTCTTATCCTAAATTTAGATATAGATAATCACTTTAGTATAGTCACAGTACCAAATTCTAAGATAAAATTTTGACAGGGAGAGTATACGTTTAATTTTAGCTATATTATAGTATAAATAGATGTCTCTCCAAATGCAATTTATGTATACTTAATATTTTACATTAACCTTGAATGTCTACTAACTTCGAGTATAAAGAGGTCTCATTCTATTGATTCGAGACTCTAACCAATTTGACTGCAACCCTCCCTAAGATCTGGTCAAAGTGATCGTCTCAGGATTATTAGTGTTTCATTTTTCTTCTTTCTTTTGCTCGAATCATCTACATGCGATCACATAAGATGGCATTAATTCGCATAAATAAAAGATAAAAGTAAACGGACTTCAGCTGGTTGATGTTGGAGAGAGAGACAAGAACTGGATAATCTCAAGGAGACCTGATGACAAGAGTTTGACAAACGCCCCCAATCCAGCTGAGATTAACGTCTAAGAAACGTGGGTGTTTTGCAGAGACGACCGCGGCGATTCGATGAGTGCGTGCGCTCTTCAGAATCCTTTTCCTTCCTCCGTTTTCCTTCGATCTGATGCGAAACCGAGGAGGGAGACATGAGCGTTCATAAGTATTGTCGTCGTCAGGGTGAGTACGTGGAAAGGACGGCTCTTGGTGACGGCGAAGGGCCACCGACAGAGCTCCTGCGCGGCACGTGCCGTTTCCAGCCTGGTCACTTTACTCGAGCCGCGGCGGCCGGCAACCGCGGGTTTCAACCACCGTCCAAACCTTGTTGTCAACCCATCGAAGAAGAAGAATGATATCACCGCGACGATGCAACCATACGTGCAGGCCTTATCCATGGCTGCTTCCTGCGCCCCCCCTCTCCTCTCTCGCTCTGGGATATCAGATTGTGACATGGCGATCGGTAAGCGTTGACAAAAATGTAGTTGATTGGAATGAGTCAATCCAAATCAGGTTCAAGAGATTCGAGTTTGTCTTCTGCTAGCTACAGATAATATTTCTTATACCTCGACTCTGCTCATTTGTTTAGCTTATCCAGGAAGTCAATAAATTAATAAATTCATCTTATATCAGAAGAAATATCTATAAACACCGCTAGATTGAATCATGAGAGAAGTGTCTATATGTGCATATAATAGATATATAGTGATTGATTCCATGGACAAGGAATAACATTATTGGTGAGACACATCGTAGCAGATAACGGGGACCAGTCAATGACAATGGGAAGGATGACGGAGCATTGAAGCAGAAAAGCTATTTGGATCCACAAGCTTATCCAATAGCATCTAATTTATACAGTATACTTCGTTATCATCTGACAGAGGTGAAGCACAAGGTTTGTCTTCGGCTTGTATCACTGCACGGGTTCTGCAAGGGTGGACATCGGCCTCAAAGCAAGAGATGAACCTGTGGAAGTGTTCTATTTCCAGTGAAGCAATAATGAGCGAAGGGGAAGAAATGTTAATTAGGGCAAGTCCATTCTATTCGTATCAATTAGGTCCAATCCATATTATTTGGTTTCAATTGGGTGGGTTAGGACAGGGCTACGATTGCATATTGTTTGGTACCAATTAGGCTCAATCCATATTATTCGGTATCAATTAGACTAACGAATGGGTGGGTTAGGGCAGGGCTGCAATTGCATACTATTTGGTGCCAATTAGGCTCGATCCATATTATTTGGTATCAATTAGGCTCACGAATGGGTTGGTTAGAACAGGGCTTCAATTGGAACAAACCAATATGGGTCGACGCCCAACGGCCCATCCCGGATCGTTCAGTCGAGGGAAACGTCCTCAACCCTTTCCCTCTCAAAAGGGTGGGAGAAAGCTCGGGCGTAAAAGAGAAGGAGAAGGAGAAGGAGGAGGAGGAGGAGGAAGAGAGGATGGCCAACCTCTCCAGCCTCATCCACGAGCTGCGGGAGCGGATCGCCGCCTCAGCATCCGCCCCCTCGTCCTCATCCTCGGGAGAAGACCCCCTCGAGACCAAGTTCCGCACCGTCCTGCCCAATCTCCTCCATGCCTATGTCGTTCCCTCTTCTACAGGTACCGGAACCCCCCTCTCTCTCTGCCTCCTCCTCTTTGATCGTCAAGTTAACCAGGTCTCCGGCAGCCAACGAGAGGGAGGTCACCGCGGTCCTCAAGCTGCTCTCCCACACCGCTCGCAACTTCCCCGGTGTGTTCTACCACGGCCGAGCCGCCGCCGTCCTTCCCGTCATCGGTCGCGTACTCCCATTTCTTGCGGAACCTGCCTTTCGGTCCCACTCGCAACCCTAGAACGAAAAGATCAATTTATCCTCCATCATTTTTGCCTTGTGAGTATCACAACCCTAAGCGGGGTCGTTCTACTTTCACAGTTCTCGCCATGGAGTCATCTTTGAGGCTATAGCCTCTCTTCTCTCGCTGCTCCGTACTGGAGACCGTGAAGCCTATCGCATATTCTTTTTGGATGCCATGGTGGTCGTTCAAGGTACAGTTCGTTAATTCGTGCTACTAATTTCCACATTTCTGTACCAAATGTCCGTTCTTTTTCATATTTTCTTGGGTTAACTACACAGATGTTGTTTATATTGCATCGAGTTATGTAAAGAAATCAAGAGCATTTTCTGATGGAGTATCACTGAAGTGTTTCAACGAGTCTTTTGCTCTGATTTCCAACTCGCCTGCACTTTTTAGTGAGCTTCCAGCTTGTTGCCGACCTCTGGATGGCCCGGGTGTACTAGTTGATCTGACTGACATAACAAGATGGCAACCATTTGCAGCGTGGAATATTAGACTTGTTAACAAGTGTCTAATGGAAGGAACACTCTATGTGGAAGGGCTCGTCAATGTCTCATTTGCTTATGCAGTCTGCTCTCTTCTGTGCTATGGGGATGCAACTTTGCACATGGTAGGTCAGTTCTTCTTGATTAGATCTGTCAATAGAATTCTGTATTCATGTTGTTCAACTTGTTTTTATGTACGCCATGGTGATTTGTTGTTGTGCAAACAGGCTTGTTTTGATTTTGCACGTTTAGCAGCAACAGTAATAGATGCAGATATAATTCCTGTCGAAAATATCATCCGTTCAATAGCATGCATATTGGGTCAAGATGGCAAGGAATTTGTGGCGTTCAGGTATGCCAAGTTTGTTTCTTGCTAGTACTTAAGTTTCATAGGCTTATGTTTGGATTTGCTTCAATTGTCAGAACTTGGAAGTTGATAGCTACAATTTGATTCTTTAAGGATGTATATAAGAGAGTGTTATTGGAGAGTAATCAGTGGCATGCTTTTTCTTGGCAATATTTCTTTTAGTAAAACGTCATTTGGTGCAGAATAAAGCAAGGCCTGATAAGAAGCTATATTTTCATAACAATCTCTCTCATTTTGCATGGATAATGATGCTGATTTTAGCCGATGATCTAGACTATTACAAGGAAATAACCTTCTGACGAACAATGAAGAAAATGGAGTTTTAGGCATGATACAAATAAAATGAAGTCATGATACTATATAAGAACTCATAGTCCGAGAAAAATTTAAGCACTGATTTTCAGAAGTCATACAATGTTCTCTGAAGTCATATGCTAGCTACTCACATGAATTTTACATAACTTTGTTGACCTTTAAATTGTTAAGCCTTAAAAACTAACCCAGATACTATGATTATTACTTATGGATGTTTTTTTCCTCAAGAACTTGAACTACTTATCACATTGGCCTGGGTCAGTGATTATTATGTTTCCTTCAGAAATCTGCTTTTATATGTGTACCACTTAGGCTACCATGTTAGATATGTTTGTTTAAATTGCATAAGTGAACTCTAACATTCTATATTCCAAGTAAATATTATTTATATTAAAGGGTCTAGCTTAGGCCTTCCTTACATCCTATTATCTCTTATTTTATCGAGAAGCCTTGTTTTTGTATACTAATCATTTAGTAATGGCACTAACTTAATCCTTGACCATAAATACATAATTGCAATGTGCAATACTTTCTTTGTTTATTCTTAATTTGCAAAGTGAAGAACCCAGAAGCAGTTCCCGTTAAGGGTGGCACTACAATGCAAATATGTAACTTCAACCTGATATGTACCCCCAATCTGCTGCTCAGATATTTTATGGATTCTGGGGCCTCCCAGATGAGGAGGCTCATTTCTGAAATATTTACTCGTGACATGGTATAATTTATACCTGTCTGATACGTGCACCGTATCTGCTGCACAGATGTTTTATGGATTCCAGGGCCTCCCAGAGGAGGAGGCCCCTTTCTGAAATAATCGTTTGTGGCATGGTATATTCGAACTCATATTAACAGGATATTTTACAATGCTCTTTATATTTTCTGGTTTAAGTTATAGCTGCATCTGTACATGATCAATTTATATCCCCAAAAATTGCCTATGGGAATTTTGTTATCTAGAATTTCCTTGTTCTTAAATCTACATAACTGTCAAGTCTATAACTTTTCTGTTTCTTTTCTAAAGTTTTTTTTCCCCTCTTGTGATACACTATCACTTTGCAGAAACACTGCATATGATTCTTCTATGGGTGCATGCCTTCATGTACTGCATTTGTCTTGTCAGCATGACATTCTTGAATCGACAGCTGGTGACGTTGTTAATGTTTTCTCTAGATCCTTAGAGAGCACTGAAAGCCCTGAACTTCAGGTCAATCTATATACATTTTTGGTATTGTTTAATTGTCTTTTGGATTCCCAAGATGGTACTGACTTAATTCTATCAGGTAGCAATCTGCAGTGCTTATATACGAATTGTTAAAAGCTGCCCTCTGCAAATTTGGGAGCCTGTAAACCTTGTTAAGATGCTATGCTTGCCAAGACCTTGTGTACCACTGATTGAGTGTATCCGGGTGGCAATTGATATTCTTTGTTCCAACAATGTTTCCGAGGTTGAAGATGATCATAACTTTGGCATGTCATTGGCCAGTCTTAAGAAATCTCATTTGCCTAAAGTTGGTGAGAAAAGATTGTCTGACACTGTTGTCAAAGTTCAGTGTAAGCGTCAAAAGGCAGCAGAAGCAAACACACTGGATGCTTCAGATTTTGCTGTAGATGTTGAATGTAATTCTTCTTTGGTGAATGAACGCAAGAAAGAATTTGCAAATGAGCTGTGGAGATCAATTTCTGTGTTTCTTGAATTATCAAAACCTGTTCATACAAAAACTTCTGCACTAAAACCAGAAACAACAATAAGAGCTCTTAGCATTCTCAGCCTCGTCTTTTCTGCTTATCCTAATGACAGTTTGTCTTCTAGAATTTTCCATCAATTGTTTTCCTGGATGCCTTGGATATGTAAGCAGGTTCGCCGATAATAATCAGACAAAAGTGTTGCAAACTAATGGCTTAGCATTTATTTTCATTTTTCTTTGTTAACTCTTTGGCCTAATTGAAGATTTTATGATACAGGCAAAGAATTCAAGCTTACTTTCATTTGATTTGCCTACCTATTTACAAGCAGTTCACAGCATATTGTGTCTTCAAGGTGCGGTCCTAAATATTCTGTCATCCTTTTCATTAGATTGGAGTAATAATCAACTCAGTTCATTCATGGGATAATTATGCCTTTAGTTTCCTGCAAATGCTTGTTTACCACGAACTTATAGGCGATCAGTTAATGCAAGCCATAGAACTTGCCAGTAATGAACTGTAGATTGTGACACCATTGCAATGTTACATAATATAATGCTGTTTAGATAGATGGTGGTGTTCATTTTCTTTAAGCTGACTCTTATGTTGCTGTTTTTATGATGCTGATACACTTCTTTTGCTTAAATTGTTTACCAAGTGGATGATTCAGTTATGCATTCATTTTAGCATAGTTTTTTAGGAAGTTCTTTTGGTGAATAATAACAAATGTACAGCACTGTGACCTTTCTTTCTTTTTCAATATTTTCAAAATTTTTTTAAAGAACCAACTGTGGGAAACCATCCAGAAAGAATTTATTTACAAAAAGTTTTACACAAAAGTTTAAAGGAGAAAAAAGAAGACAAAAACAACAAAATGAAAATGGGAACAAAGTAAGAAATAAGGGGGAAAAAAAGAGCAACACCTTGCATGTCTAACTTTTATCTTCCATATTTCAGAGGTCATATATATCCTCCACTTTTGTCGTGTTTCCTCTGAGAATATTTTTCACCTTTCATTTCAAGGATCCAGCACCAGCCTATGATCATCAGCATTCTTACTCTCTTCTCTCTTCAGTTCACATTGGTAACCTAAGATTGCAAAGATTATAGGATCCCTTCACCTTGGTCTCCATATTATATGTTTCTACCATGCTAAATGAAAAAATGTTCTCACTAAGGTTCTGATTGCTAATCGAGAAGCTGGTGAAAGACTGTTACACCTTAATTTTGACCTTGTTGTGTATGTTGTTGCATCTGGCTACAACAAAGATGTTTGGTGTCCTGTATGGCGGTACCCATGGAGTAAGAACTGTTAAAAGATGAGAGATTGTTGGTTTAACCCATTACTTTTCTGATCCTGTACAGTGTCCTGTACATGGGATAATCTTGAACTTCAAAGTCATATTTTCAGCTAGTAAACATTTGTCCTTGCTTGTGGCCATATGCATGTGTGGTGATGTATGATTCATGGCACCATGTGTTTGATATATATCAAGCTCAGTTGTTTGGTTATGGCATGCTATCCATGTATGCACTATAAGAATTTGGGGTCTATGTGTAAGTTCATCAACTTAGTGCTTTCGAATTACGTGGAGGCTCCATATTCCTTTACTGCCTAATATATCCAGTTTTTGGGCGAAATATTTATACTAATATAAGAATCTGAGCATGGTATAGTTTCTTAAAGATTTTCTTTTACTTTTAAACTGTAAGACTACAATGATAAGTACTTGCACATCCCAATACCAAATTGCATCATCCTATTGTCAATCATTCAGGTGTTCTGCAGTCACAGATGAAGTTGTTCCAGGATGATGACTCCATTGATGCAGACAGCGGGAGCTGTAGTTATCCACAATATGCTGATCTCCTGGAATTCTTGAAACTGCCTTGGACCAATAATTCTTTCATTGCTGAAGCTTTTCTAGTCAGGAAAGTAAAATGTCTGTGCATACAAGCTCTCTCCAAGATCGGCATTAAACTAAAAGATGAAAGTGATCTTGAAGTGCTGGACTTGGCTATGCATGATGAAAGTGAAGAAGTCTGTATTGAAGCTATTACATCAATGCCAGTGATCATATTATTTTCTGGTCAGATTTTTCTGGGAAGCATGTTAAGAAAACTAGAGTGAGTAGATGTACGCTTGACATGCTTTGCCATTGCTGTTTGTCTTCTTCTATTGAGGTCTACTCATTATTTTCTGATGTCTGATTTTGTTTCATGTTATATTCTATTTGTTCTGCAGTAGTAACTTCCTCCTTTTGGGTAGATATTTTAAGATTGTCAATCAGTTTCAAATTCATCACCATGTTTGTCAGTGGAAAGCTGACTTTAGAGTTGATTGGTAGTTACCTAATTTAGCTTGACTTGATAATAACATCTCAAACCGAAATGGGTTTAAACTTTGTTAGATATGACCAACATCATGACTATGTCTACTTTGCAAGTATATGCAGGACTGGGTAGCAGCCGATGCCAACTTATGTAGATCTGATCCAACTTGATAATCAGTAAACTCGAAGACCTGATACCTTATAAGTGGTTTATGCTTCTTTGTTGATAAAATGGTTGTAATTAGATGTACCATAAAAAAAATCAATAAATCATATCATTTTTTAATTGTGTTGTGAACATTCCTATAGAAGGGATTTTTTGTTTTGTTGATTCACTACTTAGTAGACTGACGATGCTTTACTGGGAAGGTATTTGGTAATTAGACCTTGTAACAGCACAAAGGTACTAACACAATCAATATTGAAATGCATGATCAACAGACCTTTTAATTCTTCCAGTATGTTATATAAATGTCATCTTATTGAATTCAAGATATGATGAATAGCCGCTTAATGCTACAGGTCAGTGGGTCGATATAGAAGTGTCGAAATTGGTAAAAGTATTCTCTTTTCACTTGGCTATATGTCATGTTTGCATAGCTCTTCAGATACCTTTGACGATCAGAATAGAAGTCCTTGCAAATTATTTCTAGGTGATCACTATGAAAGGCAGACAAAAACAATGGATCTTCTGAGAGGATTTCGGTGCCCTCATTGTGACATGGGAGTAATGCACAATAAAGGGCTATCTTCTAACACTATATCTATGCCTAAGCAGCAAAGCATAAAATCTGATTGTGACACTAGTTTTGTTAGATTTCAGACACTGTTCTTTGAGTTTCTATATGATGATTCATCAGAAGAATTCTATGTTGCATGTGTTCAAATATTACCAAGAATTCTAAGGCATTCATCTCAAGATACTCTTCTAAGTACAAGAACGAAGTGGAGTGAGTGTATTGATTACTTACTCCTCCACAAGGTAAAGGCCGTGAGGGAAGCCTTTTGCATGGAGATAAGTTGCTTCCTAGAGGATAATATTTTGGAGCCATTGTTTAATGATGTGGAAGGAAGTGACAATACCAATGAACAAAGATTTATGGACAAACTAAAACATTCTTTGGCAGCTGCTGAAGATGCTGAGGTCCTAATGACACTTTTGGAATCAACAGCTGCCATTATGAATTCTAGTGACATCCGTGGCCCCATGTTCTTTTACTCGCTTATTTTGTTTATCGAGCAGCTTGACAACTGTAATCAAATAGTTAGAATGACTGCATCAAGATTTATACAAAAGTCCCCCCATTTCTCTTGTAAAGGAGGATTTGAATCAGTCATTTCCAAGTTTTCTTGCATTCGTGATGAGCTTTATGAATATTTCTCTTCAAGACTTGTGAGTCGCCCAGCCATGATTAGAGAATTTGCAGGGGCTGTTCTTGGTATAAAGATTGAGGAATTTATTGGGAAAATTGTCCCTTTTGTCATACCAAAGCTTATTGTTTCACACAAGGATAATGATCAAGCAATTATCACTTTGCATGAACTAGCGATCCACTTAAATTCAGATGTTGTACCATTGATTGTCAATTGGCTGCCCAAAGTGCTTGCTTTTGCTCTTCTCCATGCAGATGGGAAGGAGCTATCCTCTGTATTGGAATTTTATCATGTTCAAACAGGATCTGGTAACAAAGAATTATTTGCAGCTGCTTTACCAGCACTTTTGGATGAACTTTTATGCTTTTCTGGGGAAGGGGATATGGATGAGACCGAGAGGAGGTGATAAATTTAACATTTCTACTTCATGCATTAGGCATTAGATAATGCTCCGTTCATTCTATGTTCTTGTTATTTTTGTTGTCTTTCAGGACCTCTCGAATTCCTATGATGGTTGAAGAAATAGCCAAAATCCTGACATGTTCAGATGACCTTCCAGGATTTCTCAAGAATCATTTTGTTGGTCTCCTTAATAGCATTGACAGGAAAATGCTTCATTCTGAAGATATCTGGTTTCAGAAACAAGCCTTGAAGCGGATAGAAAAGTTGACTGAGATGATGGGTCCTTACCTCAGTACACATCTTCCCAAAATTATGGTCCTTTTAATGTATGCCATTGATAAAGAAGCACTTCAAGCTGAAGGTCTCAGTGTGTTGCATTTTTTTATTAAGCAGCTGGCTAAACTTTCACCTTCCAGCACCAAACATGTTATCTCACAGATTGTAGCTGCCTTTATTCCATGCTTGGAAAGATGCAAAGAAAACCCTTCTATTAATTTAAAGAAAATTGTTTGTATTTTGGAAGATCTTGTTGTTGAGAATCGGCTGTTACTAAGGCAACATATAAGGGAGCTTCCTCTGTTGCCCACCATTCCAGCTTTATCTGAAGTGAACAAAGTCATACAAGAGGCAAGGGGATCAACGTCTCTGCATGATCAATTGCAAGATGCTGTTGATGGCCTTAATCATGAGAGTCTAAATGTAAGATATATGATGGCATGTGAGTTAAGCAAACTGTTGATTTTGAGAAGAGAAGAAGTTACTGCACTGATTGCTGATGAGTCAATTGTAGATTTGGATGTCATGAGCTCCTTGATTTCATCGTTATTAAGAGGGTGCGCAGAGGAATCAAGGACAGCAGTCGGCCAACGGTTGAAGTTAGTCTGTGCAGATTGCTTAGGTGCCCTTGGTGCTGTAGACCCAGCTAAATTTAAAGGAATAGCTTCTGAGCGATTTAAGATTGAATGCTCTGATGATGATCTAATTTTTGAATTAATTCACAAGCATCTAGCAAGGACATTCAGATCTGCTTCTGATACCATTGTCCAGGATTCAGCTGCCTTGGCTATACAGGAGCTTCTCAAGCTAGCAGGCTGTCAAGCATCACTTGGTGAGAATATAGGCAATGAAAATCTACGTACATCTGAGGATAGGGTTGCTGGTGGTAGTGAGGTGAATACCAGGGGTCAAAGATTGTGGGATCGCTTTTCTAATTATGTTAAGGAAATTATTGCACCATGTTTAACTTCAAGGTTCCAACTTCCAATTGTAACTGATTCAGCAGGTATTGGCCCTGTTTATCGTCCTTCCATGTCATTCCGGAGGTGGATTTTCTTTTGGATCAGAAAATTAACTGCATATTCAACTGGTACACGCTACAGTATTTTCAGTGCATGCCGTGGAATAGTACGACATGACATGCAGACAGCTGCCTATTTGCTTCCTTATTTAGTACTGAATGTTGTTTGCCATGGCACAGTTGAGGCGAGGAACAGCATAACCGAGGAAATCTTAACTGTTCTTAATGCTGCAGCTTCAGGGAACAGTGGAGCTGCAGTGCATGGAGCTGCTGGTGGACAGAGTGAAGTGTGCATACAGGCTGTTTTTACTCTTCTTGATAATCTGGGGCAATGGGTTGATGATCTCAGACAAGAAACTGTTCTGTCCCAGACTTTTCACACTACAGCCTCAAAGAAAGCACTGGGATTGAAAGTTGAAAATGAGGCTATAGGTAATGTAGTTGAGCTGTTATCTTCCATTCCTAAAGTTACCCTTGCTAAGGCCTCCTTCAGATGTCAAGCTCATGCTCGTGCATTGATGTATTTTGAGTCATATGTTCGGGAGACATCAGGTTCCTTCAATCCAGCTGCCACAAGTGGTTTAGAATCTTTAAACAAGCCTGGGAAGTTAGGTTCCTTGGATCCAGCTGGTGCAAGAAGCAATTTAGACAATCTCTTTTCTGTTGAAGACATTTCATTTTTGATGGAGATATACAGTGGTTTAGATGAGCCTGATGGCCTTTCTGGTTTGGCAAATCTGCGGAAAGTATCAAAACTGCAAGATCAACTTCTAATAAATGAGAAAGCAGGAAATTGGGCAGAAGTATTGACATTATGTGAACAGGCCTTGCAGATGGAGCCTTCTTCAGTTCAAAGACATTCAGATGTTCTCAATTGCATGCTTAACATGTGCCACCTTCAGGCTATGGTAACACATGTAGATGGTCTGAAATCTAGGTTACCTCAGTATGAGAAAACATGGTGCATGCAAGGTGTACAGGCAGCATGGAGGTTGGGTAGATGGGATCTGATGGATGAATATCTTTCTGCTGCAGAAAAAGAAGGTCTAGTCTGTAGTAACTCTGAGAGCAATGCTTCATTTGACATGGGCCTCGCCAAGATAATCCAGGCAATGATGAATAAAGACCAATTCTTGGTTGCTGAGAGAATTGCACAGTCTAAACAAGCATTACTTGCTCCATTAGCAGCAGCTGGTATGGACTCATATGTGCGTGCATATCCATACATAGTGAAACTTCACATGCTATGTGAGTTGGAAGATTACAGTGCTCTTCTTGGGGAAGATTCATTTCTTGGAACAACTTTCACATTGGATGATCCAAAATTTTTAAAGGTGACTAAGGACTGGGAAAATCGTTTGAGGATCACACAACCATCGCTGCGTGCGAGAGAGCCACTGTTAGCTCTTCGCAGGTTAGTTTTCAGAACGAATAATTTGGGTGCTCAAGTTGGAACCTGCTGGCTTCAATATGCGAAGCTTTGCCGTTCTGCTGGTCACCATGAGACTGCTCAACGGGCTATATTAGAGGCACATGCTTCAGGTGCTCCAAATGTTCACATGGAGAAGGCTAAACTTCTCTGGACTATTAGAAAGTCTGATCATGCTATAGCTGAATTGCAGCCATTTGTCCCAGATCCAGACATTCCTATTACCACGCAAGCGTCGAAGGAGAATCGAGATTTGGCTAAAATCATTCTCCTCTATACTAGATGGATCCACTATACAGGTCAAAAGCAGAAGGAAGAGATTTTGAAGAATTATTCTAGAGTGAGGGACTTGCAACCCAAGTGGGAAAAGGGATACTTTTTCATGGCAAAATATTGTGATGATCTTCTTGTTGACGCTAGGAAGCGCCAAGAAGATAATCTTGCAATGCAGTCCTGTATTGCTGGTAGCTCTTTGAATCCATCAACGGAGGAAAAATCATGGTGGTCTTACCTACCTGACGTGTTGCTGTTTTATGCGAAAGGACTTCACAAAGGACACAAGAACCTTTTTCAAGCACTGCCAAGATTGCTAACACTCTGGTTTGAGTTTGGAAGCATATATTACAGAGATTGTTCTTCATCTGATAAACTTATGAAAACTGTTTTCACAAGGGTAAACAAAATTTGTTCTTGCATATTTCAGTGTTTTTTTTATTTTCTAATTGCTGCGATGCTCATTTTCTGTTTGTCAGATCTTGAGCATTTTGCGGGGTTGTCTAAAGGATCTGCCGACATATCAATGGCTAACAGTACTATCTCAATTGGTTTCTCGCATCTGCCACCAGAGTCAAGAAATAGTTCGAATTGTCAAACATATAATTACATTAGTTCTACAAGAATTTCCACAGCAAGCACTTTGGATGATGGCTGCAGTTTCAAAGTCAACAGTTGCTGCAAGGCGTGATGCTGCTGCTGAGATAATACAAGCTGCAAGAAGATCTCGAATTGGGAGTGAAATTAGTGGCCTATTTATTCAATTTGCCAGCCTGATTGATCACCTGATTAAGTTGTGCTTTCATCCTGGACAGCCAAAGGCAAAAACAATTAATATCTCAACTGAGTTCAGTACCTTGAAGAGAATGATGCCTCTAGGAATCATATTGCCAGTCCAGCAGGCTCTTACTGTCACTTTACCGTCTTATGATGCAAGTCTTATGGATTCTCCTAGCTTTGATGTATTTTCAGCCTCTAATCATGCTATGATATCTGGCATAGGAGATGAGGCTGAAATCCTTTCCTCTCTTCAGCGACCGAAAAAGGTACCAATCATACTTATTGGTTTTCCAACGTGCGGCCGACAAGATAGATACGTTGTAAGGTGTCCCTATAATGTGGGTGGAGAACAACTGAGATCACAAAATTTAGTACAAGTATTTAGATGGGACTTCTTGCACAAGTTGAACTTATGATAATTTGAAACCCATTTGCATAATGTAAACTTCAAATACGATTTATTAACATGATTATCATCTCCTTTTATTGCTTATTTCTTCAAGATATATAGTCAAGTCAACCTATTTTCTATTTTAAAGTAAAAATAATTTATAAGAAAATAAGATGATGAAATTAAGAAAATGATTTTGTTAGTTATTGTCAAATGATCGGCGAGAAAGATAGAAGTTTTAGGCTCTCGCAATTTTGTGGTGTCTAAGGATTTTTTTTTGTACAAACTTATATGGCTACTAGGGGCATATCCGTCCTATCCTTGATTTGATGCATTTTTTTTTCTTGATTCTTATAAAAGTAAATTCTAGAGCAACATACACAGCACGTCAGGCAAAATATTTTCACATGGTTTCATGACCATTTCCTTTATGCACTTAAAAGTTACTTGTCAATGACAAATACATCACATTTAACTAATCCTGGTATTCTGACTGTTGAGGGAAAAGCGTGCTAATAAGAGATATGTTTCTCATTAAGTTGCATGTATGTTCCATGATAATCCAATTTTGGTGGGATGATAAATTTGGAATTTCAGGTGGTTTTTCTTGGAAGCGATGGTGTTCAGCGTCCGTTCCTCTGCAAGCCAAAGGATGACTTGCGGAAAGATGCACGGATGATGGAATTCACTACAATGATTAATCGTCTGTTATCCAAATTTCCTGAAAGCCGCAGAAGAAAGCTGTACATACGAACCTTTGCTGTGATCCCTCTTACTGAGGATTGCGGGATGGTGGAGTGGGTCCCGCATACTCGTGGCCTCCGTCACATTCTTCAGGACATCTACATAACTTGTGGAAAGTTTGACAGACAGAAGACAAATCCTAAAATCAAGAACATATATGATCAGTGCAAGACATCTGAAGAGGAGATGTTGAAATCACAAATCCTTCCCATGTTCCCTCCTGTTTTCCACAAATGGTTCTTGACCACATTCTCTGAGCCAGCTGCTTGGTTTCGAGCAAGGGTGGCTTATGCACATACCTGTGCTGTTTGGTCCATGGTTGGGCACATTGTCGGTCTAGGTGACAGGCATGGTGAGAACATTCTATTTGACTCAACTACTGGTGACTGCATTCATGTTGATTTTAGTTGCTTATTTGACAAAGGTTTACTACTGGATAAGCCTGAGCTGGTGCCTTTCAGGCTAACCCAGGTAAATTCTATATGGTATTTATTTTTGCCTATTTTTCCTTCCGCTGCTCACATGCTTTTGTGCAGAACATGATCGATGGTCTGGGCATTACTGGATACAAAGGTGTCTTTTTGAAGGTCTGCGAGATCACACTTTCAGTGCTACGAACACACAGAGAGACTTTGATGAGTGTTTTGGAAACTTTCCTGCATGATCCCTTAGTGGAATGGACCAAATCTCACAAATCAAGCGGAGTGGAAGTTCAAAATCCTCATGCACAGGTTTGTTATATACTATATATATCTTTATATTTTATCCACCATTACTTGACGAGCAGACTTGTAACCACTACTAGGTTTTGTCTAATGATTCTGTATGTGCAAAAATTTCAGAGGGCCATCAGCAATATCAAGGCACGTCTTCAAGGAATAGTGGTCGGGGTTGGAGCAGCACCCTCTTTGCCCTTGGCTGTAGAAGGACAGGCTCAACGCCTAATCGATGAGGCTATCTCACTCAAAAACCTCGGAAAGATGTATATATGGTGGATGGCTTGGTTCTAAGAGTTGCTTGGTAGCCTTGCTGTCGATATTTGCTTGTTTGTCTTTTGTATTACGCGTGCTCCTGCTCGGTGAATGGACAAATGTGTCTGCAGCATCGTCACCGTAAGTGGGAACTAGAGCAGGGTCATGACAGGGCCATGGTAGATTTTTCACACGTTTTTTGGTTCTTTCTCGTGATGATCATTGAAATCATGTGGTTTTCTTGAGATTACATTTTTCACAGGCATTTTGGTTCTCGCTTGTGATCATTGTATTTATGTAGAACTTCTCTTTAGAGCTATGCTGTATCATATGATAACAACTTGAGGGTATATATATTGAAATTAGATTCGCAGAGAATCATATACGTAGCGGTCAATTCAACCGACTTTATGTCACCGAAAACATATGGCAATCAATGTCAGTTTTGCAGGCTTGGAAACGTCATGTGACATGGCTTGGATTTGAATTAAATCGTTGGCTTTCTGGTGTATATCAAATTGGATTGATTAGACTCTGATGAGGATCGGATCAGATTAATCCTGTTGTTTCTTGGGTAAATTTAAAAAAAAATTAAAGTTTTTTTCCCCTTCAAAACGTCTTAATTCTTGTATAGTATTTTTTTAATTTATTATTTTATTATTGTTGAATTGAACGAGACTCTCATGAGAAGGACAAGGCGTTAATGGATGAATTACGAATACGGATGAGGCTGGAGACGACAGATGAGGACAAGACTAGAGATGGAGATGGCCATGATGGCACGAACGACAAGAGTAATATTATTTTAAAACAATAAAAAAATACGCCAAAATGATGATCTTTAAAAAAAAAATGTAGAAAATTTGCCATTGTTTCTTTTCTCTTTTGGCAGAGGAACAAATCCATTGCTAGCGTCATAAAGCTGTAGCTACGTATTCAGATGTCGGATTGTACGGCACTCACGAGATGGACATCACTTCAATCCTTTGAAACCGCGCCGTTGGATATAGCAATAGTTCCAAGTGATCTCAAACAGGGGGGTCGCAACTCCCCTTCACTTTTGAGCCTCACGGGGGTGGGAGGCGAAGAAAGATTATTACTCTCAATTCTGCAGCGTTTGCGATATGGAAAGAGTCTCCGACAGCTTCTCGCAAAGGCCAACGGAAAAGACAACAGTTCCAGTTTCCCTGATTGCCTCAATCTTGACCGTCTATAAAGTTGATATGATATTACTACTTTGCCGTGGTGCCCCCCATCGCACATGAGATATAACATAAAAGATTGAGTCAACATATTTCGCATCTCAATCACAACATGCAAAAGCTTAAATATGCCATGTAACATACATTGTTACATACATCCATACATGCAGCCTTTCCCGATCCTTCATCTACTAGTAGTACTTATCTCACCTTGATTCTAAAGCACGTAAGCCCTAAGCTCACACGGTTAACACATCAATCTGTTCTTCCTCGTAGAGACATCTGATTGATTAATGCATCATTAATTATACCGAACATCGTACTAAATAGGTCAAACCATTGCAAATGGTCAATTTGATCATGATAGAGGACGCCAATTCAATCAAGAAATTAACCTTTCTAAATTATGGATAATTCTTAACAATATTAAACTATTCTTTAATTTTTTTTTAACCATTATCATGTATGAATATTCTCATTATATATATATATATGTACACATTTATTTGCTTAGATTGAATATGAATGTCTCAGTGAAAATGGAGACTAAAGCAGTCATCAGGATACAGATCAGTGCCAACAACACACATCTTCTAAGCACAAATCCTCTCACACCAAAGCAATCTCATCTGCCGTCACAATGCGAAGTAGCTACACAAGCACCCTTCACATTGGTAGTCACCTTCCGTACCAGTAGTACTAAACCATTACAGTAATGGAGAGATCATGTACACGAGACCCGGCGTCATCTCCTCCTTACAAACACCTCCCTCCGTATCCTGCGTTCCTGAACAGTGCTTGCTTTATGTCCTCGGCGCTCACCACCGTCCTCGGATCCATGTCCTGCGCCGCCGCCAGCAGCAGTTCAAGATTTTAGCAGCTAAATCGTCGCAAAGATCAAGAGAAGAGCGAGGGCCACTGATCTTTACCAGCTCGGAGCAAGAGGCCTGCATGCCGAAGTCGTTGAAGCAGCTGATGACGCATTGTTGGATCTCCATCCCCAGCGCCTCCAGGGTGTTCACCGTGGAAAGCAGCAGACCGGGCTTGGCCGCGCAGCAGATCTCTATTCGAGTGTCGTTCTCCCTTCTCTCCACGTCGAACTACGAGGTCGATTCAGAGTCGGTCAGTGAGGTGTAGCTTCAGCCAAGCACGAGACCGGCAAATGTTACCTACCTTGGGGGAGTTCCTCACCAGCACCTCATCGGAGTTCAACTCCTTGATGATGCTCAACAGATTCGCCTGCTCCGGGCCGACCTCGATCTCCTCCTGCAGGTGCTTGATCCTCTCCAGGAGCTCCTTCATGTAATCGATGGTGTCCCCGAGAATGGACGTCCTGTCCATCTTGTGGACGCAGATTTGTGTCAGTGCAATCTGGAGGTCGAATGAGCTCAAGGAATCATCCACATACCTTGCTGATCTTTGGAACGACGGATCTCAGCATAGAGAGCCTGTCATTGAGCCTTTTCCTCCGCCGCCGCTCCGCCATTAGATTCTTGGAAGGCATGCCTTCCAGCTTCTTCTTCTTCTTCCTCTCCACATCGCCACCCGGTCCAAACATCACCGACGCCTCCGCAGACTGGCCCATCTCCACTTTGCAAGCACTCTGCCCATGGTCACCGTCATCCAGCGTCGACCGCACCGACGAGGACTGGATCTCCGGCGCCGCCGCAGTCGCCGAGTAGACGCCGCCGAGCGGACAGTACACTTCGCTCAAGAAGTCGTAATTAGGCTCCACCGGCATGGCAACGCCGGCGTCGAATGCCGTGAAACTGGGAGGGACCAACCCAGGGGTCTGCTGGAAGCAGTCTAAGCTCCCGTCGCACGAGAAGAACTCCCCCATTGCAGCCGGAAACGAGTCCCACGCGTCTCTCCTCAGGGACATAAGCTCCTCCAAGAAGCCATGCTCGTCGAGCTCCATTTCTTTCAAGGCAGCAGAAGGCACACAAAAGCCACTGAGCTTCCCGAACCAGCCTGAGGAATTATATATACAACCTTAAAGGAACAATTATTCCCTGCAATAAATGCAATATGCTATCCAATAAGGTATGTTGGCATTGCATTAGAACCTACAGAGCGTAGCCTAAGATTGGAATGGAATCTCCTTTCTCTCTCTCCCTCTCTCCCTCTCTCCCTCCCTGTGCGGTCTATATCATAGAAATCTGCAGTTGTGGAGAGGGTGACATTAATTATAATGGAATGGCCTGAGAGGTTTGACCCACAGGTGTGTCGGAGACGTAAAGAACGAGAGGGAGGGAGCCGAGGCCAATGTCAGGGTTCCCTGCACATGTATGTACGTTACCTTCGCACATAACTGGGCGTATAAATATCGGTACAGGTCGTCACGGCAGCCTATGCTCTGGAGTTTGGAGGTTGGCTACTCGGCTCTGATGCAAGTTGGCGGTGGCGTGGGGGAGGGAGCCCTTTCCTCTGGGCTCCTTGTGGAATGTTTCTTGTCTCCATCTATCTGCCTGTGAACCCCACTCTTCCACCATCAGTACTCCTCGGTGCAGTGTGATACAGATCGTCTTCTTCTTTCTCTCTCTTTCTGTGAATGCAGTGGTGTTGGTGTTGCTTATCAAACACATGGATCCGAACTTTCTGCAAAAAGCTTATGAAAAGTGTTGGTGTTGCTTAAACTGACTGCATCACTATCATACGATGCAACCGGATGATGCCAGGATGGAACGAATGTCTAATACCATATTGATATGAAAGCAAGATATGGTGATAATTCTACAGTGGAGACAGAGACTCCACACGCAAACACAAGTAGAACATTAATCAATTCATCAACTTTGGCTTCTCAATCAACCACAAAATGTTCCAAGTACAAGCAAGCAAAGTTGTGTTCATGTTAACAAGATTTGTTCGAGTGGTTTCAAACAGTGACTGCATTTGCTGCATTCTTATTATAATCGTTACTGTTCATTCCTGCGAGGTGCATGCATGTGAAGAAACTCCATCCGAACCTCCGATTCCGATGGGCAAATACTTATGCACGAAATATAATGAGTCGATTTGTTTGTATCTCTTCCTGACACAGACTCAAGTCTATATTTCTTGCATGTCTCATCCTGCCATTTTCTTATTTAGATGATTTTTCGTTCCGTTTTCTCATGCCTTCACTTAAACAAATAATTTGTAGTTAATCGGTCAAATTACCAAAGCATTTCTTTAAGAAGATAAGTTTAAAGTTACAAAAGAAGTTGCTATTAAGCATTAAGTCACAAAAATAATCTCTCTCTATTTGTAAAAATAACACACTACGTAAAGCATACATGAGTCATTAGGATTATATATGAAAGCCAAAGATTTTCGATTACATTCAACATGAGTCTTTATCATCTATAGTTAGTTATCATTAACATCTCCATCGTTATACTTTATTGAGATTTCTATATATACGAAAATGAAATATTTGATCTCGTTGCTTCAACAAAACCTTTCTCTTTACTGATTTTTAATCTTGTATAGAGATCTCAATACTTTATTTTAGTAACTATAAATATTTCAATATAATTTTTTAAAATATAGAAATCGAAATGATGAAGATAACTAATTACAGAAATAATCTAAAATGAGCTCATATCATCCGCCTATTTGTTGCAAATCGCTAAATATATATGTTGTGGGAAACAACTTTGAGCTGTGGCCTCGGGGCCGACGCGGCTCGGTTTGGGTCCGGACGACGGGGATCTCCCTGGGGCATTCCTTGAGCCCGCTGAGGCGGTCGAGTGCGGTGTCCGATCGGGACGGTGTAGCCGTCTCCTCCGGGCAGGAACTCCTCGCCTGCGCGTCCGAAGGGGACCTTCGGCTTCGCACCTGCACAAAGGTCGGGCCAAGGTGCTCAGCCTGACCCCTCCGACGATCAAGTTAGCAGATGTGGAGGGGGTTTCAGACGAAGAAGTGTTTTTGTGTATCTATCTCTCCCTCCCTCTTTCTGATGAACGAGAGGGTATTTATAGGGAAGCTTACTACTTCTTGAGCTGCCCGCTTGCAGGGGGCAGGCTGGTAGCGTCTAACTTTGTGTTGGTGTGGCGTGAAGAATTGAGTTTTGGTAGGATGTTAATGCGCCTCGGTCGGCGTTCTAGTCTGCATTGACCAGGTGCTGTT